AGAGCCATTCTTCGGCACGAATGGGCCGGCTGTGATACCACGGCCTCACAGATAACCGACGTGAAGCAACGCTTGCGTTGTGTTTCGTCGTGTGAGTGAGGTTTCCGGAGGCCCAATTACCCTCCCCTTCCCCAACCTCCCCAATTCCTGAATCCCCAACGACCCTCAAACTCCTAATTCCCCAAAAGGCCGGTAACGCACTTGTAACGCCTCTGGTGTTCCAGGTGTCCATGGGCGACGCCGATTGCTTAGCATCAGGTGATCCGTTTTCACAAGTTTTCCAGCTTATGCCATAAAAAAATCTCCATTCGACACATACAATCTCCTTAGTGAAGACATGGCTAAGTTACTTGTAAGACGCAGTAACTGAATTTTATTTCATACTCTTAGATAGTAAATCTCTAGCAAACTCGAAGAATTTTGTTGGAATTTCATAAATCATCTATGAATGTCTTGAAATGAACATAGCTGAACTTTAAACTACGTATCAGTACGATAGACAAGTTGAGGCAACTTAAAAATATAAAATGCGTCGCCCTGTAAACAAATATATTTTATTGCACTAAGTGTGCATCACTTTGTTTGGCCACCTCCTTGCAATTTGAAGCGTGACGTGTATTCTACATAAGTTTTCCAATTGAAAACTTTTTTTTTTTGTAACCAGTATTAATGTCAATGGTGATTCACAAGAGTGTGCTCCGGATTTAATTTTCATGTTTACATCCAGCTTGATCGGATTGATTCCACGTAGTTTAAAACCGGTTCTACTGTTTTTTTTTTCATTCATCAAAATGTGAATGATGATGATGAAAGATTCGCAATGAAAGAAGAAAAATAAAAACTGCTTGTTCATCTTTATAGTAATTAAATATTGTTTTACTATAATGAGTAAACTATAAAATATCATGATTTATCATCGTGACATTCAAGTAATTTTGAATATCCGCTCAGTTCATTTGCACGTAGTAAACTTTGTGATAAGAATACTTTAGTTATATTTTTAGAGCAAACGTAAACAAGAATAATTATGCAAAACTACAGGCTGATTGCAAACTGTAAAACTTTCCATTACTGAGTGACTGACCGATAGACAATTCACAGCCAAAACTACTGGACCTAAGAAGTTGAAACTTAGCATAGTTTTTGGAGAGGATAGGGGAGCAGTCAGTTTTTTTCTTTATGAACATAACATCACGCCTTTTTATTCCTGAAGGTCCTGAAGGCCACATTACGGCACTTAATGCCACTGGACAATATAACACCCACTTTTCACTATTTATGTTATGAGTCCCATGTAATAGAGGTGAGCCTATTGCCATATACCGGGGACAATTCCAGACTTCCGTGCTATCACTGGGAATTTTTTTAAAACCCAGTAGTTCTTGGCCCGGCCCGACCCTTGCCCGGCAGTTGCACTTGCGACCACTCGGCTAGCGAGGCAGTCAGTCAGTTTTTTTCTTTATGATGTCGGTTAAAAATAAATTAAATAATTACTCAAATCAATAGTCGCAACCCACAGTCCAAAGAATAAAATTCACCTACAAACAACTAGTTACCCCTAGCATTTGTATGATAAATATATAGAAACATATACCTATTCACTCCAGACACTAAATAAACAAAATTTTATCAACTTTCTACTAATTATTATTTATATTTAATTAAACTTTTGATTCGACATTTAAGTAACGTATGTAGGTATGGTATCTATATACATAAAAATTAATCCAGTTTCCCGTGATTACGCTATAACTTGAGAACGGCTAGACCGATTTGGCTGTTTTTTTTGTTGTATTTGTTATTGTCAGGAAACGGTTCTTACGAAAGAAAGATAAAACGGGATTGTGCGTACGAAGTCGCGGGCAGCAGCAATTATACTTTATATATTCATCAATGTACATTATTTTGTAAGTGTGGGAGAGCTATGCTTCGGCACGAATGGGCCGGCTCGGCCTCACAGAAAACCGACGTGAAGCAACGCTTGCGTTGTGTTTCGTCGTGTGAGTGAGGTTACCGGAGGCCAAATTACCCTCCCCTTCCCCAATCTCCCCAATTCCTGAACCCCCAACGATCCTCAAACTCCTAATCCCCAATAGGCCGGTAACGCACTTGTAACGCCTCTGGTGTTCCAGGTGTCCATGGGCGACGCTGATTGCTTACCATCAGGTGATCCGTCTGCTCGTTTACCGGCTTATGCCATAAAAATAAGTGTTGGAAACATTTAGATGACTTTAAAATATAATTGCAAACTATTCTAGGGATTGATACTGTGGCGACGCATGCCACATGTCAACTGATGACGTCACAAGAATCCTACATCGCACATGCAAAGTTTACAAGCGATTTAACACGGATAGAAAAATCCCAACGAGCAACTGTTGGGCAGAAAGCCCGCCAGGCACGATCACCTCGCCTGGTCGGAGGATCCTCCTTTTCCGATCTTAGGGAACTATACTCTCTGTTCCCTAAAGTGGTGACCCCGACGTGATTGGAAACAACCTTCACTTCACGGAGCAGATTAGCACCGTCATCCGTATCGCCATCCCTCTCATTCATCACTTCTCCGCTGAGCGGTAACCAAGTCGCAGCCAACCAGCATCCTCGGCCTCATCAGGGACCACCATTACCTGCAACGAAGTTGTGCAGCCTGGTTCTTCCCTACGGCCTCACCAGCGTCTAGGCACAGCACTTCTGCACACGGTCTGAAGGACACCTCCTCCCGTCAACGCAGATGCCGGCCACTACGCACCTACCCTCGCAGCATCTCTTCCCCGACCCACCGTGGGACACTGCGAACGCACCTCTCCGACTCACTGGAGTTTCACCCTGCACCGCTGACCCGACTCACTGGGCACTCAGCGGCACGGTTCCGACCCACTGGAACTAGGGACGTTCTACACTCTCTCTCGGCTCTGGCGCCACTCATCTCAAGCATCGACAGCAGTCTCAGCGGAATCGACCTCCGGTCTTGGGAGGGAGTGATGTGGCGACGCATGCCACATGTCAACTGATGACGTCACAAGAATCCTACATCGCACATGCAAAGTTTACAAGCGATTTAACACGGATAGAAAAATCCCAACGAGCAACTGTTGGGCAGAAAGCCCGCCAGGCACGATCACCTCGCCTGGTCGGAGGATCCTCCTTTTCCGATCTTAGGGAACTATACTCTCTGTTCCCTAAAATACCTAATTACACACGTTGCAGTTCACGAGGTCGGTTTTAAGTTTGATTTGCGTGTCGATTAATATTTTTGGATCAGTTTTCAATCACCCTGTACGAACACAATAAATATTTTGAGGTCGAATGGGCATACAAACAACAAGAGATTAAAGAATGTATGAAACGACATTTACGCTTCATAAATTCTTGCAATTTATTATCACATTCGTTTATTAATGTAGACGTGCGTATTACCTATCTAGAACAATTTTTGAGAAAATTTCTATAAATAGTATTGTCCAGATCACAATTTATTTTCCTATTCTTCTATTTTTTCCTTCTATTATTAGTAACAAAAGTTACGGCTGGACCAAATGATGGTAAGCAGCCACCGCAGCCTAAATAAATAGGTACACTTGCAACACCAGATGTATTATGAGAACTGACAAACATTTTCCATTTCCACATTGAGATTTTTTTTCTATTGTGAATATAACATTGCATTGCCATTTATGTTTGGATATTTGGATGTTTTTCCGTCAATCACGCTGAAACTACTGAATGGATTTTGACGAAATTCGGTACACAGGCAGGGTATGGGCTAACTTAGGTGATAAAATCTCAGTAGTAGCACGGAGTCGGGAATTGTGCCCAGTATATGGCAATAGGCTCACCCCCTATTGCATGGGACATAAATAGTGAAAAGTGGGTGTTACATAATTGTACAGTGGTATAATGTGCACCTCTTCCTACGCCTTCGGGAATAAAAGGCGTGATATTATGTTATGTTAGGTGATAAAATTTCGATTAAATACTCCCATGGGATAAAACAGGAATACACGGGCAAAGCCGAGGGTAAAAGCTACTTTATTATAATTTCTTCGGACAATAAGATTATCTAGATAACTACCATCCAAATAGTTTTTTTTTAAAGGACGGCTATAGATCATGCCCGCTATAACCCTAAAGTAGTTAGTAGAACTACACTTAAATAAATTATCATATCACTTAGACCAATTTTCGTCTCCCTTATTTTTCTTTTCGCAATAATACCTTATGATTTTCTTATGTAATTTTACGATAGTCATCACACGTCTCTAGCCCGTTTAGGAAATAGAAATAGTACATAAATTAAAGAAAATAAATTAAAATTGATTGACGATTTCCAAAAACTTACCAAACAGTTGTTTGTCACAGAAAAATTCTAATATCCGCAACAAAATTTATTGTGACAAGAAGTTCAATGACTACTAGACAGTATCATAAAGTTATTTATACATTTATGTACATCACACAGACAGTATACAGGAAACCACATACATATACAGATTAGAAATACATTATACATAGCTAGCTACTGCTAGGATATTCTAGTAGGAATTTCTTCGTGCAGTCCGTCAACAGAAAAAATAATAAGAAGTAGTCAGAAGATTAGTTAAATAATTTAACAACTTTACAATCGCCAACAGAAAGTACCTGGATATTCAAAAACTTTAATATTTAGGACGTGGCAACATAAATTGTTAAACATTCAACCAAATATATTTAAAACAATATTGACCTTCACCTCAAGAACATCCTCGAACTTGCTCCCTATTGGAACACAACTATCACTTCCTAAACATTGAACTATTCTCATCAAATAATCAATATTATAAGCACAAATGTCATTATCACATTATGTCAATATGCGTTCGATAACTGCGACCTTTGTTATCAAAGTTCTTAGTCACTTCACTCCATATATTATATCAGTTAATAAACATATTAAAGTGTCCAGATAAATTGGTCCCTGATCAGTTCTTAATTATTTGTCATTTGGATAGCACTTCTGCAACATGGCTGTTTATAGGAGCTTATTATTACTTGCATTCGCTGGCTGTGTCCTTTCTGAATTTGGTATGTGATTCTCCGCTTAATTATTACTAACCAATGGATTTTAATGTCATATCATGATTTAGGATTTCACTAAATGTTATTTAAGGCATTGCAGCTTTGAATCTCTTACATTTTTGCATTAACTAATTACTTATGCAAAAATAATAAATCTATTTTACATACATATAACAAATTCTTTGGTTGAATCAAACATCAAACTGTGCCATTGAACTCTCTAATCTCTACACTTGAACAGTGAATAGACTAAAATAACCTCAATATTTCAGGTGCACCTTTCGAACCGTGTGATAAGGATGACATCAGATGTCTAAGTGCTGCAACAGAATCGTTTTTGGAAAAAACCTGCAATGGTATTCCTGATTATGACATTAAAGCTATCGATCCTTTGATCATACCAGAATTGAAATATGAAGTTGATCCAGACATGGGCTTGCTCTTTGAATTCAAAAACATCAATGTCACAGGATTGAAGAACCAACAGATTTCGGATTTCCGGTAAGCATCTTAAATATTTTTAAAGTCTTTCATTGGATATGGCATTTAGAATTAAGTTTATTGACCTGATGTTGGCATTAATACGGTTTTGCATGAAGATCGATGATGTGATTGTGATTTATTTATTTATTTATTTAAGGGACAAAAAACAGTTACATATTAAGATTTTACATAAAAGTTTTACATTAAACAACAGCTACAATAAATATGTAACCCACAATCAAGTGATCACATGCAAAGAACCGTCAGACCATCACTTACGGGACCAATGCCCTATAAGTGTTGAAAAGGTTGTAGCTACATAACGTGGCCCCGGTGTGAAGAAAGTCGTGAGAAGTTGGAACAGGGTAGTTGTTAGTCATTAAGACTAACATTGAGGGTTGGAGGAGGAATTTAATTAATGCTTTCTACATTCTCATTGCATGTTTAGACTTTTTGTTAATTTTACCCTGATAATAAATAAGTGAATAATAACAAACTGCATATTGCGAATTCTAATTATTTCTCCAACTCATACCGGTATTAGATAATCCGTTCCTCTTGGTTTTTGGTATGAAACACTAACTTTGAATGAAACATTACCATAAACTGATGAAACTTGTAGGAATCCATTTTAAGTAGAACAACAGAGATATTGAAGTTTTTAATTAGTTGTTCATAAGTTGAATAGGGTAACGCAAGCGTAGAATGCCTTTTTACTTTCTAATAAACATAATAGTCCAATTTTATGCATTATCGGGCTAATGAAATACATAAATCTAAACGATAGATTTACTTTTACTAGCACTTTCGAAATTTGAGTACCTATTTTGAATGTGTGTGTGTGTGTTCTAAGTTAAGTTTGATAAGTTAATTGTATAAATAAAACGCTTTACAGTGTCTATCAGCCAATTTATCACTTCTCGATTATTAAATCATGAAATAATTTCGTCTTACATTTTTAGATTTTTTTTTGTTTATATATCTTTTCTTGCAACGTTTCGTTTGTTCGAAAATAAATATTATTTTTAAATAACTCCTTCGTCTATAACTCTCCCTTTTCAGATGTATTATCTTAGGAAAAAACAAGGTATCATTTAACGATAGACCCAGTAGTCAAAATCATCAAAAAAAAAACAAAATAAAAAGGAAATCACAAAATAACACTATGACCATGGTTCAGATTACATAAAATTATCTGAGAAAAACAAGAAATAAAAATGCAACAACTTAGGTATTGATAGCATTAATTGCGTCCATCTTTATCAAGTTGATAACCTCTTTACATAATTTATTTCCAGAATGGATACTGACAAGAAATCAGTTGTATTGAAAACGAAAGCAGTATTGAACATCGTGGGTGATGTGAAAATCTCACTGACGAAGCACAACAAAGTATTCAACGGAGTTTATTCAGCTTCATACAGTAAGTACCTACATTTTATGGGACAATGCAGTAAACAAACAGATAATCACTTGATGGTAAACAATCAGTGACGCCCATGGAACACTATAAGAGTTACACATGCATTGCCAGTCCTTTGGGATTCGGGGATGGGGGAGAACTGGGCATTCAGTAACCTTACCTACACGGTTGCACATAACGTAAGTGTGTGCGGTAATGCCAGTTTTCTTTTTTATTTGACTGGCCGACGTCTGACCACTGTCTCACCTGGTGATAAGCGATAATGCGGTCTACGATGGAACACGTTGTACCAAGTAACCTATTGACTCAGGCCTTGAAGACACCCAGGTTATATATACCCTTCAGGAAATATAGATTCTGGCAAAGAATTCCACGCCTTAATATGCACAAGGAAGCTTAATGCGAAGCCTTTCGTGCGTGTGGGTATGTGTGTACTACTGTACGATACATACATCTACCATGAATCGTTGACGTTTCGCCGATTGTCTTGTGGTATGATGATAGAAAGGACTAGGGGGAATCAAGTTGTGCAATTCCTCCGCACACTCAGCATCGAGTATCACTCCGATCGAGGCGACGCACTTGTCTCAAAACAAGTATCCAATGTTTACTTTTGAATTGCCTCGTCACGTTTAATTATATATTTGTGATATTCAAGAAGAAATTATAAAGAATGGTTTAATGCAATGATTAATTTAACATATTTTCTTCTCAACAGCCGCCCTAGGAAACTCGAAATACGGTTACTCCCTGGTACAGAAAGGAGATCTGGAATACTTTGAAGTTGGACCAGAAGTAAACACCTGTGAAATCATTGGAGAACCAGTTATATCACTTGATCCTAGTCTACAAAACGTTATTGACCAAGGTACGTACAAAGAAACCATAATGTTTGCTTTCATCTATCTATAAATAAAAAAGAAATTTTCATTTGTTGTCTCGCGAAAACACGAGAATATATCGGACTTGGCTAATTTTGGTCTCGAAATGTTTGTGGAAGTCCATGAAAGGTAAAAGATGAGAAAAACATTTTTAGGCGATACAAAGTTAGCCGGATCAGCTAGTTTTTAATATATCTAAGTTGGGTTAACGACAAATGAATATTTGTCCTTAGTAGATTACCTTTTGTAACACCAGAGACAAAGCAAATTGTTACATCTGGAATATCTCAAAATGATTATGTAACAAAAGGAACGTTGCAGTATAAAATAAAAAACAGGATTTTGTACGTGTTACTAAAAAGTTCTTCGCTGCACTGTGACAATTTATCTAATAGGGATTGTCGCTTTATATTGATTACACAAATCTTTGGCATAAGGACAACAAAGTAAGGAACCTACAAACATAAAGCCACTTGACCTTCTTGCGTGTCAATCGCATTCAGATAACACCCACATCAGCTGGTACTCGTGTAGGCCCTCCTGACACAGCAGCTTAGGGATCTCCCCTTATTTTCAATGGAAAGCAAATAATAGCGATAAATAAACAATTAATTTGTTGCTATGAAAGTAAAAGGTCACAGTTGTTCATAACGATAACATTATTTATGTTGCCAACTAAGTATGTATGAGTAGGACGATGGCCTTTGGGAAATGGCATGAGATTTGGAACTGCATGATTATCAACTAAATTATTACATCATACAATTAAATTTTTTCACTGATATTTTGAATATGTTTTCTTATCCTACGAATTCTTTTAAATCTTAGCTGTTGATAATTATCTTTACAGGTTTTTTTTTATAAATATTAGTATCAGTAGTTACGTTTAGGTTTATAAAAAACAACTTTATTAATATTTAATTTCTTATTTTTTCAGATGCTGATGCTAGAGCACTGAAGCCTTCTTTTAATACTAAGAAAGAAACTTTGAGGAAGAACACACTGTGTCGTATTGTGGAATCCGCCTATACTACTGTTATCCATAACCTTAGATCTTCGGCAAAAATCTATCCGTGCCGTGCCTTTTTCAATAAAATGTGTAAATAAATAAACGATTTTATTATATTTCATTTTTTTATTTGAAGACTCTATATTTTACAACGCTTTGATGTTTAATCAAGAAATTCGAAAAGTTTTAAAGTTAATTCTATAATATCATAAACAATATTTTAAACAAGCTTTATAAGACGTTGTCTTATGTTGATATACATATACTTTTATCTATAAAAATAGTTTACAACACCTGACTTAAATATCCATGAAAGGCAAAAAAGTATTTCCAAGTGAAACAAAACAAAGGCAATGCTTCTTCCAGACTAACCTAATTTATCAAGAAAGCCTAAGACGCGGTAAAAACATCATAAATATCGGCAATATTCTATATATCTTGTTCATTTTAAACAGATTGCTATGCAAATATTTACCAACAAGAAAAAAATGCAAAAATGCATAATTTCTCAGAGGTTTTATTAAGTACTTTTTAAACATTCATAGTAAGACGAGAAATGGCGCTTACTAAACCCTTCCTGTTGAGAAAAATACTGCAAAAACAGGAAGCTGTCGTGTATTTTATATTTGTAAAACTTGTACATTTTTAGGACTTCTCCGGTGACTCCGGGTATATAATATATATTTTTTGTTAGTTTAGTTACGTATGTCATATTTCATGGTATGGCTCAGTAAACGAGCAGATGGATTATCTGTTAGTAATAATATAATGCAACGGCGCTGCTCATAATTACAATATCAAAGGAGATAGGTACAATACAAGTTTGTCGCGTCACCAGTCTTTTGTTGATTTGGGGATTGCTGTGTGACTGAAATGTCGTGATGATTTGAAAGTTAAGGCACCTGCTTTTCATACATGAGGGCCTTAGCAGTTTGCACTTATAGCCTGATGATGGTAATGAGGATACAACTGAAAAACAATCATGGAACAATAATTAGGACATTCATGAGTACTTCTCAAAATGTTACTAGGCAGTAGGTACTAAGTAATATGAAAATAGGTACCTACAACTAGATTGTTTATTACAAGAGATGATAATAAAAATTCTAACCCTAGGGAAATTCACACAGTAAACATTGAAAAAACAACTCTTTTTCTACCTATTTCTGTTCTCTTTAGACTGAATCCCTTGAGTATGTCTGTGACGTGTACCTACATTTCCAAGAATCACATTTATTGTGCCTTAAGTTGAAATTTTTTTGGCATTAGTGTTAAGCAGATCCAAAAATTACTGGTATAAAAAATAACGAATAAAAATACCCCATGCATTTCTCCAAGTATGTCATATTCAGAATGGCTATGTAATGCTCAACAATTTTCAAATATGATTAAACAAAAAACCAATGACGTCACGTAAATACCCGAGCGAACTCCGGTATTTTCTCTCCACTCACTCCATTATACACGTTATTTTTAGAGAGTAGTTTAGTATGAATAAATTATGTGGATTTCACATGCATTAATTTTTGCTTGGAATACAAAGAAAAATATACAAATAACAGTGGCCATTGAAACAGCTATAAAGATAAAAATTCACAAAATAAAATTAAATGTCAAGTACTTAATTTACAACTATCGAAATAGGTAAGTAAGTATTTTTAATGCTCAAACTGATAGAAATCACATACAGGTACGTACATAAATCTTGAACCCGAAGCATCAAGGACGGTTATTTACCGTTAACAACTACAGGTAAAGAAGTGACTATATCTGATAACTGACCTAGAAGAGAAATTTTATATCATACCTAAATTGAATTATTTTTATGTCCAGTTCAAATGCTTTCATTGAAAAGAAAAACCTGCATCATCGTTTCAACATTCAGGTTATGATTTTTTTTTTTTTTTGTAAGCACTTGTTCGCACATAAAATGCTATTTTGCTTAAAAGATCGTCTTTTACCCTCTGGAGTATTCCAACTTAAATCATCAATAGGTACTAGTACACTCTGGATAGATTTTAGTCTGAAATAGATATTTTAGACAGTACTGAAGCGATGGTTCATTATATTTTTTAATATTAGAAAATATTTAAAACTCCCCATAAATCGAAAACTATTTTATAACACTGGAACCTCTCGTCCATAATTGCACAAACCAATCCTTCTGTTTATCCAAAGAGATTACTGAAGCTTAGCCAAGAATTGGATGCCAAGAAATCTACACTGGGCCCATGAAGGACCCAGAAGAAGCGGCCGTGGAGCTCCTTGATATGCCATACTTCTTTGCGGTCATTGGCGTTCAGTTCTCTTTTACCAAGGACAGCAGAGTGAATCCATCGTCCACTGCCACTATTTCTCGACGCATGCTCTCGTTTATTTTCAAGAAATATTACTTAAGGTTGCTGGGTTAGCATTTAGTGAGCTTCGACTGCACTTCGGAAGGATGTACCACTTCATGACAGTTTCGGGAGGTACCTGTGTAGTTTCGGGAGGTACCTGTGTCTGATGGGGCGGGAGGAAACGCCCGGGTGTCATCACTGCGAGGACCGCCCTGAGGACACGGTGGAACACACCGTAGCGGAATGCCCTGCGTGGGCTGAGCACGCAGGGCACGCCTCGCGTCCGGGCCTAGTGCTGGCCATGATGCGGAGCCACCAACCACTAGCCAATAACCACTTCATGACCGACGAAGATGATGCATTTGATTTGCAGTCAGCAGTGTCCGGACTTACCTATCCAGGACTCGACTGTCCAGTTCAATCTGACTTCACTTGAGTATGCCAAAGGAATACATTAGTACCGGCTTAACTCTACCGTTAAGGACCCGCAACTTGTTCCCGCCTGATAACGAACTTTTCAGCATTTATTCAGGCAGTCATAGATGCGCTGCTTTACCGATTGCTTCATGTCCGATCTATTAATGCCTAATCCTTCTAAAATACCCAGGTACCTACTGTTAGTATTATCATTTGCGGAGAATGATCTTAGTTTTCAAAAATATGCGTTTGATAACTGCGACCTTTGTTATAAAAATATTAAAAAAAATATAAAAATATTAAAGTGTCCAGATAAATAGGTCCCTGATCAGTTCTTAATCATTTGTCATGTGGACAGCACTTCTGCAACATGGCTGTTTATAGAAGTTTGTTAGTGCTTGCATTTGCTGGCTGTGTTCTTTCCGAATTCGGTATGTGATTTCCTATTAAATTAAACCATATAGTTTTAATGTCTCATTATAATTTAGACTTTTCACTGTAGTTGGTTTTTGTTTTAGGCATTGTATTTTTAAATCTGTTTTATTGTTATCTTGATGAAAAGATAAAATCCCTAAGTTAAATCAAATATCAAAATTCAACTTTGTAATACTAACTGTGTAATCTTTACTTTTGAACATTTGGAAACTATTTAATTATGCGATTTACCTAAAGTAACTCCAAAATTTCAGCTGCACCTTTTGAACCTTGTGACAAGGATGATCTGAAATGTCTAAGTGCATCAATTGAATCGTTTTTTGAAAAGACCTTCAATGGTATTCCTAATCTAGACATTAAAGCTATCGACCCCCTGATCATACCTGAATTGACATATGAGGTCGATCCAGACATGGGCTTGCTCTTTGAATTCAAAAACGTCAATGTCACAGGATTGAAGAACAACCAGATTTTGGACTTCCAGTAAGTACCTCATTGTTTATAACCTCTTTCATGTGATTCAAAATAACGATTTTGTATGAAAATTGATGATGTGAATATGCCCCAAAAATGGTTAAACCACTATAGACTACCGGGGTTGTCAGCTAGGCTACCACCACACTGGCTAGACAATAAATAGGACAGAGTGGTTTTTAGTCAACAATGCATCCTTTCCAAAAAGGTTACTCAATTCTCATAGCACATTTACGTTTTTTGTTCGTTTCACCATCATATAATTTTTTTAGTGTTTAGCAAACTGCATTTCGCGAATTTCTATTATGCCTCCAACTCATACTAGTATTATATAATCCGTTTTTCTTGGTTTTTGGTATAAAACACTAACTTTAAATGAAACATAAAGTGATGAAACTCCTAGAATTTCCATTCAAATAGAACAACAGAGATAGAAGATTTTAATTAGTTGTTCATTATTACCTCCTTCTGCGAAGTAGTCATGCTAGCTAAGGAGGAGGTGGGGCGCGTGAGGGAACAAATTTCTTTACGCCCTAGCCGTCGCGAGAGACCTTCTGGGCGTCGGGGATCGCAAGTCGATCTCCGGCCACCAAGAGTGCCGAAAGCACATGACTCGCCGCCCGACCAGACCCGAGCGTACGGAGCGTGACGTTCTGCGGGCGCCTCAAAGAGCCATTAGACGACAACAGGTGGGGCCCAATAAGGCTGATGGCGATACGGAACCGTAGAGGACTTACCTACCGTAGGGTTGCCGGGGCTCCGGCTCGAAGTGCAGGACTAGGAATGGAGTGGTTTTTAGTCAGTAAGAGTCTGGCACTCCCTCTCGCCTTACCCGGGCGGGAGATGTTAGATGATTTTCCCTCCTCAAAAAAAGCGACAATCCATATAGTATCGGGCTTATTAAAATAATCAATGATTTATTTATTTATTTATGTACACACATACAACATAAAGGACAACACATACATAAAGTTAAAGTACAAAGGTGATGTTTATTTTTACTGGGGCTTTAAAAAAATCTAATTTCAGTGACATTTTTGTATTTTATTCTCAGTCTATCACTGATTGAACAATGAACTTATTGTTTTTGTTGTTTTTTTATATCATTATAATGTATTTTCAAAGACTATTAATTTCTGCTCAAATGCTCAACCGTTTGCTCTGCACTATCCAAGATATGTAAATAACGTCGACATTTTTTACATATTACTTTATTCTTGGAAGAAAAGCAGCCTAGTTGGTCATATGCGACTAACAAGTTAATTTTCGGGTTCGATTCCTAGTTCTGGCAATAGAAACTAATTATATAAAGCATGTTTGTCTAGTTTAACATACGAACAAAAAATGTTTATTGTATTTGCATTTGGATATTCTAACAGTACTATTTGTACACAATGTCCAATTACTTTATCTCTAAGGAAAAAAACTAACTA